ACGCCGCTGAATAAGTCCTGATATATATATATATATATATATATATATATATATATATATATATATATATATATATATATATATAATGCTTTCTTCCCATTCTGGTCGGCTAATATTCGTTCGATAGTTCGTGATGTGTTTAGTCGCAGCTTCATCACTGCTTGGAACCAGTCTTAGAGGCGCCAACAACAGCGTATTCATCCGATTTATTTCGCTTTCGACGAATGCCTCCTGTTCTTCACGGCTCGGATTCGATACTGGTAGCCGATCACGAACCGGTCTAAGTTCGTTCCATCAGACCTGTGTTTGGCTGCTTGGTCTCAATTTCATCTATCTCTCATAGGTAAATTAAAAGACAATACATCTAGCTCGAAGTTTTACGGGGCGCAAAAACGTAAGGCCTCCAGGGACAAACATAAAAAGTAATGCAAAACACCGAAAAACCTATATAACTGAGCAAGGCCATTGCAATATACTGGTCCGCGGGAATAAAAATTGTAACACCAACAAGAGATACAATGAAGCCCTGTCCCAACCCTAAGGTACTTTACAACCATATCAACAAACTGCACAAAGTTAGATGGAACACCCTTGCTCTGAGCACCGCTTGTAAACAAAACCGAACTACGGAAGAATCGGCCGACGCTCCTTGACCGCAATTCACTTGTGACTTCCAGAATGCATTGCCATCTCATACCATTCCCACACGGATCACATCGCCACCAAGACATAGTCACAATTACCCAACTGACACAAATGCGCTGAAGCGACCGAAGTCATTATGTGAGCACAGTTCATCTGGCTCCAGTAACATATGCTAAGCCACTAGTAGGCATTACCAAGTGCATAGTTGAGTCCCTGTTCCGGTTTTGCTAACGCTGTACCGAGGAGATGCAAGTACCTGGTATGTGGAAGCGAAGGATAGTCTCCCGCATTTACACGGGGATAATGGGAATGAAACCACAAACAGCTACCAAATAATCCCAGTTCTGGTTATAGAAATTCATACTTTCAGCAGTCATTGGATAGTTGAAAAGATAAATCATCATGAAGAGGCTATATGGCTTCCGCTGAAATCAGTCGAGCATTAAGAACCTTCTGCTAGCCAGTGACAGAATCTGTCGATGCTGAGGAATGAAATGACAGCCTATCTTGAATTCTGAGTCTGAATGACAGCATCCACCTTCGTAAACTGAAGAGCTATGGCCTCGGTGGTCCAACTCTGAGCTGGATACTTGCGTTCACCCACTAAAGTCGACTGATTTAAGAGTTCGCAACATCTTACCTGACCCAACAGAAGTGCGCTGTTAACAATCATTAACATCGTCGACCGCAGTAGCACATAAGTAACTTGTGTCGATGCTTCGCCGCCTCACAAAAAGGATGACCTACGGAAGGATGAATAATACCAGGTGAGGAAATGGGATCTAGTATGCAAACTAAAAGCCGTGAGTAAACGTTCAGGGTCATGGCGCCTACACCAAATTGTCAACAAGACATGGTTACCAGCAGTTCACTATAGTGCCAAGTTACTGTGACGTTAGTGGGACAGCTTTTCTATAGCTTTTGCTGCTCCGCATCACAATTAACCTTTCCCCAGAGATAACTCGGCATCGGACACACTTAAAACAGGCAGCCGACAACCAAGCACAAAGATAGTAGCGAGGATTCCGACCTAGAAAACGAGGCGAATCAACAGCACCCAGTTTAGTCATTAATGACTTTAAGTTTTGCTACTAACTGCTGCCTATGTCCAGCATTGTGTTATCACACATCCAGTAAATAAAAATGGTTCCTCTTGGTAAGCGGTGACCGGGTACATAGTGGCGTTCCTTTTCATGTTTGGTTTGGATAGTACTTTAATGATCGCACTCAACAAGTTCAAGTAGGGATTCACAGGTCATCACCAACGCCAAGGGAGTGTCCTTTCCTGATTTACATCGAGGTAACAGACGCTATTGAACATGGGGCACCCTACTTCTTTGGCGGTGATATGCACTTTGAATTCTAGGAGTCTAAAAGAAATCTTGAAAAATATAGGGAGATTTAATGTAGCCCAATAATTTCCAGACTTGCCATCTATTGAAATATGGAGCGATAACTGTTAAATGTTGTCCACTGCAAATAGATGTGAAGTATTGGAGTATCGATATAAAATTGAGGTCGACAACTCATGCTTCCGCGGAAAACCAATTCTATTCCGCAGCACAATACGAAACTTAGGTATTCATTATTTAGGCACCATCAATTTCGGGGAGCAGATCAAATTCATAGTAGCCAAAGCTCACCAAACAGATTAAATCATTCGTAGCAAATAAGTGCAAGATTCACATGTCCAAGATCCGCGTGCGCTTCTTGTTGCAGTACTGTACCACGACATTTACCAGTTGGAGGAAATGCGATCGTTTGTACCTGGAGAAAGTGCAGTGTCAATTCACCAAAGCCCTATTTAGTGAAGCACCAACGCCAAACTATTCGAAACGTTGTATACTGCGTAAATTAGAGCGTTTGGGTCTACGGAGAAAGAAACAACCTGAAGTTTCTGTTTGATGTGGTGCACACACAAGTATATGCCCCGCAGAGTAGTATTCACTTCAGTCGGAATAGAAGATTTGGCATCAAGAATAGAAGGAAATAGTTTCCTATATGTAGAAATAAAAGAAACAAACAAACCAAACAACCACTTGGAAAATCGCCGGATAGGTACTTCAATGTGTTGCACGTCGAAACTTTAATGGAACTGCACTGCAGAATGAAAATAAATTATGAATAAGGGATTGTAGTGACAGTTACAATACCACTTGATCATGTGTGCAAACTGTTTGTAACATATACTTTCCGTTTCGTTGAACTCCCTTTGGCTTCTGACTATTCCAATATCACGTCATCTTTCGTTCCGGTATGCCAACCTGTTAGTTCCTTTCTCCCTTTACATCTGTTCTGCACTGCTAATTTTTATCCATTGTGTCCCGGAGGAAACAACTCGAGTACCCGTAGCAGTTCTCGGTACCTCGTGAAGTCAACTTTCGATATCAACTAATCTGCTACTCGATTGTCCGGATTCGTTGGAACGACCTTAACATCCTTTACGTGGCTTTTTTCTGTAATTCCACTGTACAAACTGAAGCAGAAACCATCAGACATTTGCCAATAATTTATGGCTATTTTCATTTCATTACATTCCCATATTGCTCTTTTCTGTCACTATTTATCTTTTCCTTAGGTGGCAACAGGCTCTTGCGCTGACACGGGAAATAAAACATTGATTAAATTAAGCCGATCTCTTGAGGCAATGGAGTGTGAAGCTTCCGAAGTAATCAGCGTGTTGTACACGCTAGGCGAATTGCCAAAGGTGTTGAATGTGGAGTAATAAATGTGCCGGGGACCCGAAAGAGTTGGATGCTGAATGGTGAAAACAATAAAACAGAGCCTATTTATCTCTGTATATAAAGACAGTCCTGAGGATGAGCTAACACGGTGCTGGCGACAACAGCACAAGGCCAGATGGGACATGGAAGTGTGGATGAAAATTTTCGAGAGACTAGCCCTGCATTGAGGCAGGTCTCCAGACGGTTCCACGGGTTACTTCATTTGAACTTTTGGCAAAAATCACTTTCATTCTACTCCCAACTTCGTCTATCTAACAGCTAACTGATCGAATCACCTGACAAGTTATTTGGGAACTGCTCTGGAAAAAGTGAACGAATATCTATCTATACGATCCGGTTGTACCAGATGGTCAGAATACCTAGTTGGACTGCATCTTGCACAGTGTGACATGAGGCACACGGCTATTCCTAGTGTCCATAACCTATCACGTGGGAGTGATCATCACAAGATTTGGCGTGCCATTCAAACCGTAGACGACTGCATAGCACTGCAACGCAACCTCAACAGGGCTAACGAGTGGTCAACTCGGAAAAGGCTCTAGTATAATGTTGTCAAATGTAAGGTATTGAGCACACACCGCCCGAGCACCTGCAAGTATCGCCTAGGAGAGCATTTATTGCTTCGTGCTTCCCATGAAAATGATTTCGCAGTGATAGCACGGAAAGAGCCTGGCTACTCAAGACAGGCTCAAAAGCAATGAACACGTGGGCCTCTTGTAGAAGAAGTTGGGTCACACCGTCTCTCAGCCAATGACTGACGTCTATGTGAAGCCCCATGCCGAATACGCTATCCAAATCTGACATCACCAGCAAAGTGTGATGTCGCTGTTCTCGATACACTAAAAAAGGGTGAATAAAAGTGTCAATGACTTTCTCCACCTTCATTACCAAATTAAAATGAACACTCCAAGAGGTTTCAGCGAAAAACATCGTTGCATGCAGGGCGGTCTAATATTTGTATATCCGATCCTGAAGGACACCAACCACACATTATGGCAGTTAGTGAAACCAAGCCACACCACACGGAGAGCCCACCGTTGGAAGATGGTCACACAGTATAGCAAATTGGATATGTCACGGAAACCTTTCTCCAAGCCGTCGAACTCCCTTCCGATTTCTGCAAGTCCCACTAGCACGTTAGTTGAATTTAAAACGTAACTTGATGATACATTATTCCACCTAAATAACCTGATTTAAGACAAGTTATTGAGACACAGTATAATAAACGAAACTGTGTGAGCCTCTAACCCACACAATGAAACTACAAATGAGGGTCATTCTTTTTCGGGTTGACCCCTTCATCTACGGGACTTGTTTAGCATTTGCTTTATACCCATGATAAATTCTTACTCCTGTGTAGTCGGGTAACTCGCATGAAGCGGTGCACACCAACGAGCCACTTTAGCTACTGCAGATATTTCTCCTTAAACTAAACGAGCGAATCACTCTAGCCAGTTGACAGTGAGATCTGCGCTCCTCACACCCCTGAGTTACTGGTTCGGTCCATCTTGCGAGTTTATGGACCAAGGGTTGAAAAAAGTCGCTGGAGTTAACGCCAAGATGTGTTCAGTTTGCTTGGGTTGTTTAACACCGGCTATCAAGAAAAGCATGGTGCAGGAAAAGGCGCGTGCGTGTTTCAGAGGTGCACCAAAGTCACTCTCAGGTAGGTCAATAGAACAGACACCGATATCACAAACTAATCCAGGGGTGATGTGTCCAGTTTCAACGAAATAGACATCACAATAGACGACGTGCTCGCAAAACCATCCGCAGTTGAGGGAGCAAACAATAATACACCTGAAAGAGAAAACAACCGTGTCTCACATTCAAGAATCCACTTTTTTCACTGCAGGTACGTTTACAGCCGGGTCAGAAAGTGATAGGTATCTCAACAAGTCATCAAAGGTTACGATGTTATTGGTGTTATTTGACGGACTGCGGCGCCATGATGCCGGAAACCATTTCGAGCGAAAATGTTCCAGATTTGTGTCTCTTGAACAACGCCATGCGACATACCATAAAGCACCAAACGTGCTCAGCGTTATTAATGTGGCCCGCCCCAACGCCCGAATTGCTAGACGAACTCCGGACCGATATAAGTCTGATTCACTCATTGGGGTCGTCAAGCTGCCACTGGAGACCTGTTGACGGTGAAAGGGATAGTGAGCCAGGATGTGAATAGTGTGAAGTAAATGTACCAGCAGCGACATGTCGATAGGAAAAAATGCCAACAATTCCTAAAATGATGACAAAGTTGTGTTAAAAAGCGGAGTTTGGTGAGTGATGCGGCTTACTCAAAACGAAGCTAAGATCAAATTAACGTGAATTCACAGCCGAACACTTACATCGAACACTCCTAAACCGTTGTTCTGGTGACGCCATTAAATCCTCAATAAAACAACTGCTCCCGTCAGAATAGGGAAAGGGAACATTCACGTCAGGCCAGAACTAAACTACCACTTTCGACTAGTGCTCTTTCCGTTTTTCCAATGGAGTTTTACTAAATCTCTTCATTAGAACAATTTTTATCCATGTTTGCTAGAATTTTCCATCATTCTCCTTCAAATCTGCTATTTACGGTTCGCATTGTGAAGTGAGACACGACAACTTGTTCCCAAGTGCGCGGTTGTGTGGTAATATTTGACTAATTCAGATGAACTGAACTGAAATAAGCTGGGTCATCAATCGTCCAGTTGTCACGTTGCTAGTGAAACAAGCTGATACCCGTGTAGTGCGACTGCACCCATTCGATGTGGGATCGAGGTGCCCACTGGGGAGATGCGATTCCGGTCGGTGGAAATCAATTAGACCGAATGCAACAAATGAGAAAGAAGTAAGGAAGCAATAATTGCACTGGCAGGATCAAGGATGCAATGTACAACGCTAAATAAAATGCAATCCCATTAATGGACACAAGTGAAAAGCGGTAAGGTGTGCACTTAGCGAATGGGAATGAGACAGAAACGAGAGGTGTAAACATCGGAGACGAAATGGATCAATCAAAAGGCGTTTAGCATATGGACAAAGCTGTTTCCGCAGTCACTGCGACATAGGACCTTAGTGTGTGATCCATCGGCGAACATTAGGTGGCACTTTCTGCGCGCTGGCAACTGACTAGGCAATAGTGCAAATGCACCAAGAACACTAGTAAAATGTTCTACGGCTCGTTTAAAAAATGAAGATGACAAGTGATAGCCGTTGTTATGAAGGCGTCTCTACGATGCACACAGAGAGTTGAAGGACAGTACCAGGCCACCAACGGCAATTAGCGCGGGAGGGAAATCACCGGTTCCAAGCAACTAAGTTGGCTTTAGCAGAGCAAATTACATCTGTTCGATACCTATGTTCGTGAAAACAGGTTTCTAGTTAATTCCAAGTAATACATAAAACAATGAGGACCTGATGAACTGTTCCTCGAAAAAATCTGTCTGGTGCCAAAACCAAGAGGTTATAGAATAGTGCAATTATCCACCTGTTGTGTACGCACAACAATAGTTCTCTGTCACGCCACGCCACGCATGCACGCTTTGCAGCTTGCAAATGATTGGCTGAGCGCTTATCGTGTAATCGCTAACAAGTGTGATACGCCACTGGATTACAATGCAGGCATGAAATCTTTTCGGTCATCGGCCGACAGGAGACCTTTATTTACCCTACTACAGTTTGGGTCAGACAGGAGATTGCTAACAAAACCTCTCTCGGAATGGGCATCCGGAGTAGCTCCCGTCCACAAACCGCGTCGCAAAACTAGGTCCCGTTTCCATTCCCTATCCTTGCGAAGATTTTCTACCTAGTCTAGTTAAGCAAGAAACTGTTGCTATCGGTGTATGTAACTAGTACAGCAAACTGACGGCCACATTTTATATTAGTTCCTTCGACATTCGCACTCCTGATTAGATCGGTCAACATGCACCGCTAACCGTTAGTTTTAATCTCCTTGGAATCAGCAAGTGCTGTTTCTCCGATGCACACATATAACATAACAGATTCGTAAATAATCTTCGGCTCCCTGGTTCCGAATCTATCGACAATGAGTACAATCTCTGCCTCTCTGATGATAAAGAGCCCACGATTCAGAGCATTTGTTGTGTTGGTATTGCCTAGAGGAGATGTGCCGACGAGTCTATTCAAATGAGTACCCGCAGTGTGTGTAGCAACTTAGAGCAATCCCCGCTTTGCCTGAGATCGTTGTGTAAAATACGAACTAAAATTATTGTTTCATGAAAAATTTAAGCGATCGGCGCGGAATATCGAAATGCCTTTGTGTTCGAATAGTTGAATCGAGCAACCCGTTTCTGAGCACGTCAGCTGGTCTCCATCGTGCAACCGCATCGTGTACTGGGTCGTTATGTTCACCAAATAGCAACGCACAGCAATATGGTATTTAAAAGTAAGACAACAGAGAGCCTGTCACTGTACGAATAAAAGCTGTGCTGAATCCATCTACCGTTTGAAACTGCAATCTGGACTCCCACTGAATGTCCGGTTCGACCTTGGACCACCATGCGCAATAAACACTGTCTGAAGACAAGATGGGTAGTTTTTGCTTCAATGTATCGCACATGCGAAGCAACTTGACGGATACCAAAAATAGACTTTAACGGCAGTCACGATCTTTCGCGAGTAATACCGGTATGGCAAATGTCGCTCGTAACTGGGATGCTCAAGTGGGTACCCCATCCGACTCCGAACAACGCGTTGCAGGACAGATGAACGCCGACGTCAACAACGTTCTGACAATAACTATCATATCAACAGCACTGGTTCCCTCCACATACGTCCACATCAAGTCATCTAATGTCCGGTAAATTAGCATTTCAAACATACCAATGTACCCCTTAGCTAAGAATGAGAAAAAGCCAAGCTATTGCGTCTCGATAGAATTCAATTAGGTAGGTAGCAAAAAGGGAAAATTATGTAAATGAAACAGAAAAATATTACAGCGCGTCGTTGGTCGATAGTACGCAATACTTGCGACATCGTGGTTTGGGAAGGGCATGAAAGATGGATCGAGATCAAAAAACGCACGTCAACAGCGTCAATGAGGTCGGCTCTCAGCCATTTTAAGCAGTATATCCAACTAAACGTGTGCACCGTCCCTCGGACCCCAATCTGAGAGTGGAAACTCCAACTGAAGCCAAACTTGTATTCCTCTTGACCAAGTGATCGGTTGTCTTCCTCTCATCTTCCTCCATCGACATCCGGGTCGCGAAAACGGCGAACGTTGCGTGATTCAGCGTGCTGACGTGACAATAACCCGATCGTCGGAGCCTGGTGTCTAATGTAATGGTACTGAGCGGTTCATTTCCTCTTCCTGCGCCATAACTAACACCGCGAACACACGCATTGCTCACGTGGTGTTCCAACAACATATGAGCTAAACCGCGAAGACACCGGTGGTAGAAGGTTACTAGCCACTTTATGTTTGTCGAACTGAGGAGTCGCGTTTCACAACCAAACAGTATAATTTAACGGATGGTTGAAGCGTAGACCCTAGCCTTCAGAGCGAGTGATGTCGCGCCGGCACCATAAGTGGCAGGCATTAGCGAAAGCGCCTCGATCTTTTGTTATACGGTTTGTCGCTCTAGCTTCGACTCCACATGTGCTTTTATTGAATCCCAACCAATGATCAATACAAGGAATGGACTCTCCGAAGCTTGAAGGAAAAATTCGCATTTCTAGAGCGATATGGGAAGGTCGACACGGTTGATAGCCAATATTAATCTGTTCAATGCCGCCTGGCACATCTGTGAGCTGTCAGTCAAGAAGTCGATCACTTGAAAGCAGCTCCACACCTCCAAGTCGTGTCCGGTAAACGCGATTGCCGGTTTCGTCAATAGTAAAAAAGGAGAGAGTGGGGGTGTGGGGAAGTTTTAAAGGACTGCGACAGTTTGCCTTAATGTACCCAAACTACGCGCATACAGGGCACTGAAGATGTATGCGTATATCCCAGATATATTTTGCTGAATAAAACGATTCAAAAGAGCACATTAATCCCCCTAATGGAAGACACCTTTGATGTCGAGAAACACGATCAGAATGGGTTGACATTATAATTGAAACGAGTTATGATCAATACAGTCTCGATTTCGATGAAACCCGACTTGTTTTTCACGAACCTGGACTTCACAAGCGCCAGTCATTTCGTGAGGAACGACAGACGCAAGTAACTTGGACACGATAGAGATCTAACTGATACCACTACGATTATCGCATTCTGAACGTGAGCCCATTGTAGAACTTAGGACTATAACGGAGCAGTTCTACTCGGTTGAAACAGTTTCGTGGTCCAACAATTCCATCAATAAATGGCACAAATCGTTTACGAAAGCTAGTGAAAAGAATTTGAGGAGGACTGTAGGAAGCCCATCTGGTCCCATGACTTCACACAACTTCAGCGTTCCGATCTCACGTTCGACTTCTGCGCGAGGTCGGTACAAACTTGCGTGGTCGGACTAAACGCTTCTACTCCAAATCCAGACTGATTTGGATGTAGTCCCTCCAAAGTAACTTAGCAGACGCTCAAAAACCTACAAAGACAATAGGATATCAGCCTATCAATCAAATATAAGGTGCACAACATCGCAAAAAAGCCGACGTCATTGTGCAAATCAGAAGCATGACCACTTCGCACCGAAGGAATTAAGAGACCGGTTGTCCTAGATCACCGGTGCTACTACAACACTGCTCGCATCTGGTGGGCACACCGGATGAGTAACACTTAAGTCCGACAATCGGTGCATATGAAAATCCTTCTGGTTCCAGTCTGGAGTGTCTGTGAAACTTGAACCGCATACGCTGCTCAGGTTGTGTCCTCTGTATGCCCGTTGTCCGCCTTCTTCGTTGTGTGCCCGCAACACGTATGCGGGTTAAATTGTGGAATAGCCAACATACGACACTGCATAGAGGTTTAAGGAAATTGACCGAGAGACTGGGTCAGCTTAGTAATTGTCACATGCGTAGGCGCAGGGCTCAGGATGAGGCACGTCAGTGAGTGGAATTGCCTGCTGTAGCGCAAATGCGGAGTCAGTGACGTTCCTGTATCCGGCATTTTGCGTCAAGTAGATAACGTCGCACTCCGATTACTTGTCCTTTCCTTATCTTGGCACAAAGATCTTTCATTTAAAGTGGAATGGTAACT